CTCCTCAGGACTGATACATCATACCCTCTCTGAGGTCTCACATTGAACAACGGCTGAGAATAATGTTAACATCATTAGACCGCTGCTAATGGGAAGTTATCATGTCTCATCTCTTTCACTCCTTCTTGTCCTTATCGTACTCTTCATCTATTTTTCACTTCTGTCCAGCTCATTCGCTCTCACGTCTTCTTCTTTTACTTTAGGCTTTTTCTGGACTCTCCAACTGCGCAACTCACCAATATTTTCAAGGATTTTCTTTTCTTTTTAAGGGCCTAAATACATCAAACACATTCTGCCCAGGCCTTGCCTCAGTTAGCCATGGCTTCAGCCCCTTTAATTAGACATGGCTAATAACGCCAAGCATGTGCTGATAGCCATCTCTCTGATAAGACCATTYGTACAAGGACACAGAGCCCTTTCTGTGTTTTTACAGTGTTACCTAAGGTTAAAATGAATAGTTAGTAACCTTAGTTTATGGCCTCAGCCAGTCACACTTGTACCCAATTAGCATCCTAGTTGGCACTCKCGGAGCAGTAATTTTAAAGGCAGGTTAGCAATCAAGGCTGTGGGCTTCGAAGTCAAGTGTCTTGTTAACAACTTTAAATCCTTAAGGTTGCAAATATATGTGAAAAAATCACATTGACAAAAAAGTTCATAAAGTGACTTTTAATTAAATTGTAATTTAAAGATAAATAGAAAATTTCTTGTCTACGTATCTTTTAAATCTAGACCTAAAATCTAGCTTTGTCCCTATTTTACTTTCACTTGTAACAGTCAACATAAAAGTAAATGTCCAGCATGAGTGAATGCTTACTGCTCACCACATATGACAAAGATATAAATTTAGATCATTTTAAAATGAGGAATGACAGATTAATAGCCGTTTACGTCAAACTTTGCTAATGATGTTTGAACAATCTTATCTAATATTTTAAGATCTCAGGAGATGCATTGTGGGTAGGTGCAGTGAACGATTCTCAGCTACCACCAMACCAAACCTCAGCTTAAAATTTGTCCAATTACCTGAATTATAGCCATYTTCTGTTGGCTAACTAGCTGTAGTGGCCAGTTCGAATTGATGTGACTCCATGATGTAACTGAGAGCTTCAATAAACTCTATCTTTTGATTCGAGCATGCACACASACACAGGCAAAAACACATTACCTTCCACCTTTTGGCAGTGAGAAATAATTAAAAAACATTGCACTACACAAGGAGTCAACCAAAAAAWTAGTAAGCCAAACTGAACCCCTTTAATTGGGTTTTAAGCTACCACTTTTCAAAGTATCRTCTCATTAGAGATGCATATGTTGGGTGATTTTATTGGATTTTTATTCAGAAAGTAGTTAATTTACATGGATGCTGATGTTTGGGTTGAATTAGTAAGTTGGCTTGAAAAAAAAGGCAAAACCACTCCAGGCTAAATCTCCTCTGATGGATTGATCTAGGTGAGGAAGATTCACTAACACATTCAGCACAAATGTGTGAGTGAGAAAAAAAGAGGAAGATGAAAACAGGGGTGAAGAGTAGGCATTAATTCCAATCATTACAACTGGGACAGCCCGGAGGGGGTCCGGCCCTAAACATTGACTACATGTAAACTCAAGAATGACTCACCAGTTGTTCACTTGTAGGATAGTGAGGCCTGTGTCTTGTGCCAGCTGTTTCTTCTGTTCTTCCGAGGGGTAGGGATGCTGTGGAAGAGAAAGACAACATCTATGAAAAAAAACAACATTTTTTTTTACATTGGCCCATATTTTTTGAGAATGGGCTTGATGTGACTTTTACCACAGAAAGAGCAACAGTCACATAAACAAAAGCTCAACCAGTATAGGAAAGAATAGAATGAGATGTGTGTTCCTGCTCATTGGTGTGTAGGTGTCAGTGTGCCTGTGTGTACATCTACACATAGACTGTAAGTGTGTGTGAGTATGTGTAATATAACCACCCCCCCTCCACCCCATTCATTAATGGAATATGAATTCTTGTAATTAATGGCAGCCAAAAAGGCAAGCCAATTAGAAAGTTAAGTGAAGTGGAGAAYCAGCTCTGGTAATTAGGGAGAATCTAACACAAATATATTCGAGTCAATGCCCCCCCTCAGCCCACTGCATATGTAATCAGGGAGTGGGGAATGTGTAGCTTTAAAGTGAAAGAAAACAGACATGAAAGACATTTTAAACTCATGAAATCTCATCTTTATTGATTATGTGAGTGTAATCTTTGTGTTTTTGGCTAAAATCATTACAACTGTTCAAATTTCTTCCTCTTGTGGCTTAATAAAGAGAACAACCCCACCCCCACCCATGCCAAAAAAATGTGATGCCACCTCAATGTGTCATAAATAAACCTTTTGCTGGTGGAAGCAACAAATTATAATAGAATTCTGCAACATGGTTGCACATTTTCGCACAGAGATTAGTAAAGCTTATCCAAACTTTTTTGTTGAAGCTTCATCTCTTCTGGTTTCAAAGTTTACTGTGGAGGTGCACAAACACTTTACACTAATAAAGGTTAAACTACATTACCTTACTTCTTTACTTTGGGTTGGGTTGGTTGGACCAAACATTGAAGTTTCACCAAGTGTTTGGGTGAGAGATGAGTCCTGTCATTCTTTACAGACCACCATTCTAGGCCAGAAGTTGACCAAATCAGACCTGACTGGACCTCTGCTTTAGATTTAGTAGATTGTAAGGTTGTGAAAACAATTTTAGCTCAGTTTTTTTGGCAGATTCAGTTCGACAAGTTAGTCATTTGAAAACAATTCCTGGGATAAAAAATTTACCTTGTATCCTGACTCAAACTGATAACCAAACCCTGCTGAGCTAAAACCATCCTCTGATAAAGAGTAGTCTTTATTTGTATCCAAATTTCATATTGCTTTGCATGCATTTGCATAAGAAACATGTTAGAGAAAGTTTCATAAAGTAACTATTTTTCATGTTTTTATTCCTAATTCAACCAACAAATGTCTAGGATTACACTATATTTGTCAAATAAAATATGCATAATGTCTCTTTTTTACTTTATTAAATCAATTCAGCTTTTGATAACTTTATTACTTATATCCAAGATCTGACTGATCAACAGTAGCCACCACACATGAGGCTGATGTTTGCTGTTAGACTAAAGAGGCGACACAGCCTTGATCGTCAATCAGACGAGTAAAATCAGAGCGGCGCCAGCGTTTTCATTTTTTCATTACTGCTTTTTTCTGCGCATAATGAACAGGATTGTGTTTAATGCTCTGACAACCCAGCTGATAGAGTGTGAGTGGAGACTGATTTCTTCCTCTTTTTTTTTTTCTCTCAGCGTTTTCTTGTCCATGTGATTGGTTGCAGGGAATGGGAACACAAGGAGGCTAATTTCATGCGCTAAGTTATAATTGCATTGTTGCCTCTGGCCAAATTGGTGTCCACTTCTTTTTCCACAACAATTTGTGTGCTCTTCTGTGTGTGTGTGTGTGTGTGTGTGTGTGTGTGTGTGTGTGTGTGTGTGTGTGTGTGTGTGTGTGTGTGTGTGTG